TCTCAAGCTCCAAATCTTCCATCATGTTTTACTCATTCCATGCCAACATCCCCAAGAACAGGCAAAACATTGTTGTGTTTTGCTTTTCTTTGAATTGCACTGTCGTGGATGGTGAGTGTCAAGAGTTGTTCTGAGAACTAAATGAGACCATGGATGTAAAAGTGCTTGACATTTGCTAGGCACTCAGTAAAGTTTCTTTTAATTTCTTCTGTCTGGCAGTTTAAGCCTTTCAATAATCCAATCTTATTTTTCTTAGCCAATTTATTTCCCATACACCCTGCTCTTATTGAAGTGGTAGTATCCTCCTACCCTACATGTACATTCTACTCATTCTCATACCCATGTATTTTACTTACTTGTGTACTTCTAATTCGGAATGCTTTCCTGTTCTTTTTCTGAATATCCAATTTTTATTCATTCTTCCAGGACATGTCTTTCCTGTTTCAACATTAGAGCCAGATGCCTACCATAGTTCCTATCCTATAACAGATTCTTCAAATATATCTGTTAAATGATTAAATAAATTTGACTTCATACCTGTAGGTCTCCCTGGATATTCCAGCCTTCAATGACTCATCTGTTCTTGGTACGTCTTCAGGAAGTGGTACTCCCATGTCACTTACGTTAGCACCCAATTACTTATTAAATTTTATTCTATGGATTGTAAGATCTCTGAAGGAAGAGTTCCATCCTCTTGGTTGATTAAATACTTTTATTATAACACAGCATGTCATTCTGCTCCTGGATCTAAAATTTAACCAAACGGCCTTACAAGTTACAATTGAAAACTTAAGAGTCAAAGAATCTCAAGTTTGGAATTGTCAAATTAAATTCTATAGCCATAAAGAACTATTTTTTTTACACATAATAAGACTGGTTTTTCTCTTCAAACAAAATGTTTTTAGTGTTTAGTGCTTCATCACTGCATAACTCAACAATCTTCAGTTAAGTAGTTTTAACCATGAAGTTGTATTAGTTTTCAGAGCCAGTTCTTCTGTTCTTTCATTATCAGTGTATCTTTCTTTAGGAATAAAGAAATATGGATTATCAGTAGAGCAGGTAATGTGATTCAGAAGTCTTCAGTTCTATTCTTAGTCCCCTTTGTAAATGGATGTACTAACTGATTTTGGGCAAGGCACTAATAAGTACTATGTCTTGTCATCTCCAGCAATTGAAATGATTGTTGGTTGTATCATGTAGAATCATCTGATATTACCACAGTATAATTTGGAGTAATTAAAAGTATTATTTAAATAATTGATGCAATGGGAATTAAAAACAACAGAGGTTTAAAGATAGGTACTTTAGGCCAGGTGTGGTGGCTCACACCTACAATCCTAGGCCAAGGCTGGCAGATCACTTGAGGTCAGGAGTTCGAGACCAACCTGGCCAACATGGTAAAACCCCGTCTCTACTAAAAATACAAACTTACCCAGGCATGGTGTGCGTGCCTGGTGCGCCTGTAATCCCAGCTACTCGGGAGGCTGAGACAGGAGAATCGCTAGAACCTGGGAGGTTGATGGTGCAGTGAGCCAAGATTGAGCCACTGCACTGCAGCCTATGTGACAGAGTGAGATTCTGTTCCCCCACTCCAAAAAAGATAGGTACTTTATATGGTACCATAAATTAACAAACACAGGGAATAACTATGTAGAAAATTCTTAAAGTTTTTGTATTTTTAAATATTTTGGTACATTTTTATACAAACATATAAAATGTAAAATTATGCATGTGATCTTAGAAATATATAGTAACCTTGATACTGTAAGCACCTGAGGTAACATTCAACATACATCAAATGTAGAAAACAGGAATTGTGTTTTAGTGTCAGAATTATTTGCCAATCATGTTCTTGAGGATTTCTGGCATGCCATGAAATAAAATCCAGAATCTCAAGGTTAGAAGACAGTTGTCTCTAAAACAGTGGTTGTCATTTAATTACTAAATATGGATAGATATTTATGATGTTTGAAATAATTTTGTCATGACAAACAATACTGTAAGGAATAACCTTTAACATGTTTCCTATGAAACATGTATGGTTTGCTAGGGTGGACAAAATAAGCAGTAAATGAGAGGTAGTATGCTCATTTGAGAGGTAGTATGCTCATTTTAAATATTAATAGATAATACCAAATTGGCAAACCAACAAGCTACTCTACTTCCACATACAGTATGTGTATGCTATATATAATACTGCCACAGCCAGGTACGGTGGCTCACGCCTGTAATTCCAGCAGTTTGGGAAGCTGAAGCGAGCAGATCACCTGAGGTCAGGAGCTCAAGACCAGCCTGGCCAACATGACGAAACCCCATCTCTACTAGAAATACAAAAACTCGCCGGGCATGGTGGCAGGCGCCTGTAGTCTCAGTTACTCGGGAGGCTGAGACAAGAAAATCACTTGAACCCGGGAGGCGGAGGTTGCAGCGAGCCAAGATCGCACCATTGCACTCCAGCCTGGCCGACAAGACTGGAGAGCATTTGGGAGCATTTATATTTCCTCTCTAAGGAACTAATAGGCTTTAAAAAATATTTAGAAATTCTTGTTTTCTGGATGTTACTTGATTTGGTGTGTGTGTTGTAAATACATTCTTCGGTCTGTTTTCAGCCTTTTAACTGTATTTTGTGTTCTTTTCACCGTAGAGGTCTTAAATCCTGATGCAGTGAAAATTATCAGTTCTTTCCTTACTTATAACCTTTGTGTTTGTGTTTTGTTCAAGAAGGTTTTCTTACCAAGCATTTGAATTTATATTCTCATGTATTTCCTTAAACTATTTTTATAGTTTTGCTTTTACAGTCTACTTTTTTGTTTTGTTTTGTTTGAAATGCGTTCTCACTCTGTCATCCAGGTTGAAGTGCAGTGGCACAATCTCAGCTCACTGCAACCTTCATCCGCTAGGCTCAAGTGATCCTCCCACCTCAGCCTCCTGAGTAGCTGGGACCACAGGCATGTGCCACCACAGCTGGCTAATTGTGTGTGTGTGTGTGTGTGTGTGTGTGTGTGTGTGTGTGTGTTTATAGTAGAGATAAGGTTTCGCCGTGTTGCCCAGGCTAGTCTCAAACTCCTGAGTGCAGGCAATCCACCCACCTCAGCCTCCCAAAATTCTGGAATTACAGGCATGAGCCACCTTGCCCTGCTACAATTAACATTTTTAATCCATGTGGAATAATTTTTGTGATTCCTATGAAGAGACATCTACCATTTTGTTCTAAATGAATGGACAATTTGTCACTAGCATTCATTATAATTCATCTCTTTCTATTGCATTGAAAAACCTCTTTTCAGGTACTAAATTCTTATTCATACACTGATCCTTTTTTTTTTTTTTTTTTTGACAGCTTTTTACTCTGTCCCCAGGCTGGAGTGCAGTGGCACGAACTCTGCTCACTGCAAGCTCTGCCTCCCGGTTTTAAGCGATTCTCCTGCCTCAGCCTCCCGAGTAGCTGGGACAACAGGCGCAAGCCACCACACCCTGCTAATTTTTGTATTTTTAGTAGAGACATGGTTGCACCACGTTGGCCAGGATGATCTCAATCTCTTGATCTCGTGATCCACCCGCCTCGGCCTCGCAAAGTGCTAGGATTACAGGTGTGAGCCAACACACCTGGCCATTGGTCCATTTTTTAACTTTCTGTTCTATTTTCCTGATTTACTCCTCTATTCTTCTGGTGATACCCTAATTACTGTATGTTTATAACTGCATATTTTACTATTTGGTTGAGCAGGAACCTCTCTGCGTGGGGACATACACACATACCCTCCATGTGCCTCTTTGTGAAACTTATCTTGGGAATTCCAGCAAAATTTCTTTTCTAGGTGAATTTTAGAATAAGCTTGTCAGATTCGTTTAAAAATCTGTTGACATTTTGACTGGAATTGTGTTGGATTTACATGTTAATTTACAAAACCTTGGCATATTTACAACGCAGATTCATTCAGATGTACAGTTTTAATTTATTCAGGTTTCTTTGTTTAATGTTCTCCAGATAAAATTTAATTTTTATTCCTTGGGTATTTTACTCCACTTTCATTAAATTTATTCCTAGTTATTTTATAATATTTGTTGCTACTGTGAAAAGGATTTTAAAAAATAAATTTTTGTGATTGTTGTATTTCTAAAAAATAAAACTGACCTTTATTTAGATTTATTCTAAGTCTTAAAGGTTACTTGGCTTACCACTGACTTCCATTCTTCTCTTGGATTCATTTTTCATTTTGCTGGAGCATGTCTTCTAGCTATTATTTCAGCTAGGGTTTGTGGGAGATACATTTTCTGAATCCATTCATGTCTGAAAATGTCTCATGTTTGAAAATGTCATTACACTTGTCTGATGGTCAAATTACAGAATTCTAAGTTCAAAATCATTTTCACTTCAGTATTTTAGAAAATACTTCTCTAGTGTCTTCTTATACTCAATGTAGCTAAAGAATCTGAAGTCAAGAGGGTGCTTTTTGTTTGTAAATAACATGCTTTTCTCTTTAGAAGGTTTTAGGATTTTCTCATTATACATAAAGTACTAAAATTTTACCAGTGTTTTCTAGAATGGGTCTTTCCCAGTCTTCTTGCTTGGCACAAAGTGGGCCTTAATGTAAAACTTGAGTCTTTTTTCATATCTAGGGAATTTTATTTGATTTATTTTTCCTCTGAGTTCTATTTTATCTCTCTGGAAATCTTATGATATGGATATTGTAATGTTTGGAGGTATCTTCCAAGTGCCTTAACCTTTATTTTACACTTATCATCTCCATCTCCCTGTCTGTTTGTATTATGATCTGAGAGAAGTTCTCAGTTTGATCTTGAGCATCCTGGTTGCTCTTCAGCTATGACAATTTTGCTATTCAGCCTTAATGTTTTTACTTTTGCTATCAGATATTTCATTCCTAAAATATCTTCTTTTTCTTTCATTAAAGCTTGTTCTTATTTCATGGATAAAGTAACCTCTCTAAATACATATTGTGGTATTTTATGTTTTAAACTCTTGAAATGTTTGTTTTTTTTTTAATATGGAATGCCTCACAAATTTGTGGCTCATCTTTGTGCAGGGGCCATACTAATATACTCCGAATTGTTCAAACTGTAGGGGATGTAAGCATTGCTGAGTTCTAATGTCACGTTAGGCTTGGATTTTCCATTAATCTGTGAATGCTATAATGAATTGTCTTGGCTTTCTACCAGTATTGCAGGGTGTGTTATCGGAGTGTAACAGGACCTAGTCTTCTAGGAATCGAGACTCCATCAATATCACTAGCCATTTGCAGCAGCATTTTATATCTTTGGCACAAATGCTGACCACAGATGCTCCCATCAAATGGTGACTTATCTCCTTTTGCACTTATTTTTTACTGTGTACTGTGAACTATATCTGAGTGGATTCTTTGAGGCCTATGATGAAGTTGTCTTTCCATGGAGAAAACATGAATTTACTTTTGCCAGTTTCCTGACATTTAACCTAGGTTCCTAGATCTAATCTTAGATCTAGTTCTAGGCTTCGGGTGCTTGAGTATCCCTAAGCAATGTAAACCCAAGCTGTGAGGGCTGGCCCATGCCCACACAACTTCTCAGAGATATATTTTTCTTTTTCCTTTTCTCTTTGCTCTGCTAAGTGTTAAGTCCTATAGATCCCCGGACTCGGGAGTGGGTGGGTAGGTTTTTTTTTTTTTTTTTTTTTTTTTTTTTGAGACGGAGTTTCGCTCTTGTTACCCAGGCTGGAGTGCAATGGCGCGATCTCAGCTCACCGCAACCTCTGCCTCCCGGGTTCAGGCAATTCTCCTGCCTCAGCCTCCTGAGTAGCTGGGATTACAGGCACGTGCCACCACGCCCAGCTAATTTTTTGTATTTTCAGTAGAGACGGGGTTTCACCATGTTGACCTGGATGGTCTTGATCTCTCGACCTCGTGATCCACCCACCTCGGCCTCCCAAAGTGCTGGGATTACAGGCTTGAGCCACCGCACCCAGCTGGGTAGTTTTAAGAGTATAGCATTTTCTGGTCCCAGGTTAATGTGGAAAAGGTCTCTTATTAGACTTCTCAACTTGGATGGGTCTTGAGTATTGGATTCTATCCTCTTTGTGTGGCCATTAAAACCAAAGCTACACTTGTGTAGCATAGGCAAAAGCTGCTTTGATGTTCATGTTGGGACAGGATGGGGCAAGTCCAGGCCTTGTTCAGGGGCACTGTGCTTACTTCTCTGGAGTCTAGATTTTCTCTAGATTTTTTTTTTTTTTTTTTTTGAGACAGAGTCTGACTCTGTCACCAGGCACCAGACTGGAGTGCAGTGGCATGATCTCGGCTCACTGCAACCTCCACCTCTCGGGTTCAAGAAATTCTTCTGCCTCAGCTGCCCAAGTAGTTGGAACTACAGGCGCGCACAACCACACCCAGCTAAATTTTTTTTTTTTGTATTTTTTAGTAGAGACAGGGTTTCAACATGTTGGCCTGGATGGTCTCGATCTCTTGACCTCGTGATCCACCCCCCTTAGCTTCCCAAAGAGCTGGGCTTATAGGCGTGAGCCACTGCACCTGGCCTTCTCTAGGTTTATTTTTTATTTTTTTTATCTTGTATTTCATTGCCTTCTCAACTTTTTGATGCATTTAAGAAGTCTGTATTTTACACGTATTTCAGTGGGAGGGTTGGTCCTACAACCTAGTAACCTAGCCTTTCATAAGTCTTGCCCTTTCCTCTGCATATGGTGGTAGTGGTGGTTGGGAGGGGAACAGAAGTCAGAACTGCTAGGCTGCTCCTACTGTGAAAATGTCCGTATTACCCAAAGTAATCTACAGATTCAATATAATCTCTATCAAAATCCCAAGTCATTTTTCACAGAAATAGAAAAAAAGCCATAAATTTTGTGTGGAACTACCAAAGACCCCAAATAGCCAAAATAATATTGAGCAAAAGGAGCAAAGCTAAAGACACCACACTACTTGACTTCAAAATACATTACAAATCTATAGTAATCAAAACAGCATGGTATTGGCCTAAATACAGACACATTGGGCCAGGTGCAGTGGCTCATGTCTGTAATTCTAGCACTTTGTGAGGCCGAGGCAGGTGGATGTCAGAAGTTTGAGACCAGCCTGGACAACATAGAGAAACCCTGTCTCTACTAAAAACACACACACAAAAATTAGCCACACATGGTGGTGGGCACCTGTAATCCCAGTAACTCAAGCAGCTGAGGCAGGAGAATTGCTTGAACCCGGGAGGTGGAGGTTGCAGTGAGCCGAGATCACACAACTGCACTCTAGCCCAAGATGGTACCACTGCCCTACAGCCCAGGCAACAGTGAGAGACTCCACATCAAAACAAAAAACAAAAAACCAACAGACACATTGATCAACAGAACAGGATAGAGTACTCAGAAGTAAACTTATGTATTTATGGTCAATTGATTTTCAACAAAGGTGCCAAGAACACACAGTGAGGAAAGGACACTATCTTTAACAATTAGTGTTGGGAAAACTGTATGTCCACTTGCAGAAGAATGAAATTGGACCCTTATCTCACAACACATACAAAAATCAGCTCAAAATGTACTGAAAACTTAAACACAATAGAGTGGCTCTATTACCAAAAGGACAAAAATTAACAAATGCTGTCAAGGATGCAGAGAAAAGGGAACATTTAAACACTGTTGATGGAATGTAAATTGGTACAGCCATCATGGAAAGCAGTATAGAGGTTTCCCGAAAAACTTAAAATAGAATTACCATATGATCCATCAATCCTACCACTATTTATCCAAAGAAAAGGAAATCAGTATATTGAAGAGATACCTAAACCCCCATGTCTATTTCAGCACTATTTACAATAACTAAGATATGAAATTGACCTAAATATTCATCAACAGATAAATGCATAAAAAATTGGTGTATGTATACACAATGAACTATTATTCAGCCATGAAAAAGAAAATGTTCAATGTCACTAATTATTGGGAAAATGCAAATTAAAATAACAATGAGCTATTACCTCATACTTGTCAGAAAAAAAGATGAAAGATGATAACTGTTGGTAAGGATGTGGAGAAAAGGGAAATCTTTTTTGAGACAGAGTCTCGCTCTGTTGCCCAGGCTATTGCACAGTTGTGCAATCTTGACTCACTGCAACCTCCGCCTCCTGGGTTCAAGCAATTCTCCTGCCTAAGCCTCCCAAGTAGGTGGGATTACAGGCATGTGCCACCATACCTGACTAATTTTTTAATTTTTAGTAGAGATGGGGTTACACCATGTTGGCCAGGCTGGTCTTGAACTCCTGACCTCAGGTCATCTGCCCACCTTGGCGCTGGGATTACAGGTGTGAGCCACCACAGCTGGCCAGAGAAAAGGGAAACCTTGTACACTGTGGCTGGGAATGTAAATTGGTACAGCCATTATGTCAAAAAATATAGACAGAGATTCCTCAAAAAAATTAAAAAATAGAATTGGCATATGATCCAGCAATCCCCCTTCTAGGTATATACCCAAAGGATTTGAAATCAGTATGTTGAAGAGATGTCTAAATGCCCATGTTCGTTACAGCATTATTTACAATAGTCAAGATACAGAAACAATGTAAGTGTCAATCAGTGGATGAATGGACAAAGAAAATGTTCTATATATATACACAATGAAATATTATTCAGCCTTGTAAAGAAGGAAATCATGCTATTTGCTACAATATGGATTAACCTGGAATACATTGTGCTAAATGAAATAAGCTAGGAAGAGCGACAAATACTACCTTATCTCACTTATATGTGGAATCTAAAGAGTTGAAACTCATAGAAATAGAGAGTAGAGGCCGGGCATGGTGGCTCACACCTGTAATCCTAGCACTTTGGGAGGCCTTGGCAGGTGGATCACCTGAGGTCTGGAGTTTGAGAGAAGCCTAGCCAACATGGTGAAACCCCATCTCTACTAAAAATACAAAATTAGCCGGGCATGGTGGTGTGCACCTGTAAACTCAGCTATTCGGGAGGCTGAGACAGGAGAATCACTTGAACTTGGGAGGCAGAGGTTGCAGTGAGCCAAGACCATGCCATTGCACTCCAGCCTGGGCAACAAGAGCGGAACTCCATCTCAAAAAAAAAAAAAAAGAAAGAAAAGAAAAGAAATAGAGAGTAGAATTATGGTTACCAGAGGCTGGGGAGGGGGGTGTGGGGAATGGGGAGAGTTTGGTCAAAGAGTACAGTTTCAATTAGATAAGAAGAATAAGTTTTAGATGTTGCATAGCATGGTGACTATAGTTAATAATGTATTCTATATTTCAAAATTACTAAAACAGATTTCAAATGTTTTCAGCACAAAAAAATGGTACGTATATGAAGGGATGGATATGTTAATTAGCTTGACTTAATCATTGCATAACATATACATATATCAAAACACCACACTGTGCCCTATAAACATGCAATTAATATTTGTCAATGAAAAATAAAATACAAAATTAGAAACCATTCAGATAAATCTAAGATATGAAGATGTGAAAAAGCCTTCTAACTTTCAGGAAACTCACAAAAGAGAAATGTGCTTTTTTACTGATTCCTCACATAACACAGTTATCAAACTTCTCTTAGCAGTCATCAATCCTATCATAACACCTGCTCTCTCCTGCTTCTTTTTAAGGACAGATGATCCAGATACTTGCAGTTTATCTTTTCCCTGGTTAAAGGTACAATATGAAAGAACTTAATGAAAGCAAAAGTAATTTAGAAATCCTTGATTCCATAGGTTATTCAAATAGCACTGGTAGAAGCAAGAACATTTCTGAGGCAGTAGGATATTGCCTGCTTGTACTGCTTAGGCTCAGCTTCCTCTGCAACATGGCCAGGGCTTGGTCTTTATGTGCCCTCTTTCTGCACCAGACAGGGACCTAGACATGATTGTGAGGCAACTGCTTTCTGGCTTCTGGTTAGTGTGAGATTGTTGAGCTACATGTTCTTTTCAACTGGGATAGAGAGCTACTGGATAGGTAAGTGTCAGAGAGAGTTGTTTTGCTTTGCTTTTCTAATCACAGAAGTGTGTGATAGGAGTTATTACCAGAAAGATGGTTGGGCGTAGTGGCTCACTCCTGTAATCCCAGCACTTTGGGAGGTGGAGGTGGGTGGATTACCTGACGTC